TGGTTGCTTTTTTTGCTTTGAGATCTGCCTGCAGACACTGACGGCGTGTGTTTGCTGCTGCTCTTTTAATTAGTGAGCGCATACAATTATGTTTGGTAAGTTGGAAAGTGACTGTTGTTGCAGCCGAAACTTATTCGGCGAAATGCCCTTGACATATACAGTAGATGAGATATAGAGTAAGCCACGTGAGTTGATGATTTTTAAATTCGAATCCTCTAACCACCGCTTTGTTACTTAAGCTTAGATTACTTTCACATCATATGTGCCAGCCAATGATTTATGACTATAACTTACAATAAGTCATATATGCTAATGCAAAGCAATTATTATTATATTTGATTCAGCAAAACCACCATTTTCAATTTGTCAAGTAAAATTATTGGTTCTTTTATGCTTTCGAACAAAATATATTTTCTGAAACAAAAAATGTACTGAAACAGTATGGAATTTTTTTTCACCCAACTACCTCTATATACGGTCTGCATTAAGCCAGCAGAGTCTCGCAGTTTCAAACAAGCTTGTTTTTTGACCAGTGGCTGTCAAGCTCACACTCCCACGTTGAAGCGCTTAAAGGAAGTAGGACAGCGAATACCTAACTCTTTTCCAATCCAGTGTAATCGGGGCAAGGGTACTCTATCTTTTGAGCTCACCGGCCTTACAGTTACCAGAAATTTCGTTATGGTTAGACATCCAAATGAGTTTTATAATGATGTCGCTTGATGCTATCGATAGTAAGCTCAACTCACTCCTTAACTTACATTGAGTGCACAGTGAGTGAGCTCAGACCTCATGCTGCTCATCATGGCTCATCTGCCTGAAAAAGCAAGCACTTCGGCTAAATATATTTGCTGCTAACTTAATGTTAACCACCTCTGCTTGAAAAACTTGAAAAGCGCTTCATTGGCAACCATAAACTGTACTACAGGAAATAACTATGCTACAGGAAAATAACTAATAAGTTTTAATCCGCATGTAAAATAGCTCACAGCGTCTCTTCTCCAGCAACTTTACCTCATGTAGTAGGAGAAGGATGGGATTTCAGAAATTCCCAGTTTTCTCCTATTGCAAATACTCAGCTTTCCTGAGCCTTACATTGACCGTGGTGGGTTGTACGTAGTGTACTATAGATGCCAAAGAAAAGAGCCGCTTCTTGCACACGTTCAAGCTTCTTAGCAATCGTTGCTTTTCTGAGCTCTCTCAACTAAATGAATACTCTATAACACATTATTGGCTTGGCTTTGGTTTAGAAGAATCAATATACCAACTTTCGTGAGGTTGCGCCTTTTTTATTCATAGATATTCTTGAGAATATATGTACAGGAACGGCTGCCCGCTTTATTCTCTATTTACTTATTATATTTATAAAAATCAAAATTAAATAATTGTACAACAAAATTGGTAAGAGTTGTTATCCAACATAGCGGTGAAATTTTCGAAGAAATCGTTCAGATTGGTTCACTATAGCATATAGTTGCCATACAAACTGACCGATTAAAATTATTTCCTTGTATGAGAAACTTTTTTGTTTGATAAGATATCTTCTCGATATTCTGTACGGATTATTTAACAGGGTAATCGCACTACACAATCTGCGAAAAAATCGTTTAGTTCGAATCACTTTATCATATAGCTGCCATACAAACTGAATGATCAAAATCAACTGCTTCTAGGGAACACTTTTTTATTTGATGAGATATCCAAAAGAGAGAAAAGAGATATCCAAAAATTTGGCATGGATTATTGTCTAAGATAGCGATGTAATTTTCGAAAAAATTGTCTAGAACGGACCACTATAGCATATCGCTACCATACAACCCCGTCGATTAAAATCTTTCGTTGTATTATTATTATTATAATTTTTTTTTTTTTTTGAGAAGAGAAGAGAACTTCGTGAAATTCGACATAAATTATTGTCTTAAACAAGGCTATAATATCCGAAACAATTTTCCAGATCGCGCTACTATCTGATATAGCTGCCATACAAATTTAACCATCAAAATCAAGTATAGAAAACGTTTTTATTTGTGCAGGGTACACTAGCGACGTTAAACCTTAATTTATCGTTTTTTTCTTGTTTTAGTTAATTTTGAATTATTTCATTTTTCTATATTTTTTCTTTATATATNCTTTTTGTTGTATTTTTTTATAATTATTTTAATGTGTTTTTATTTAATTTATTATATTTTTTTATTCTATGCATTTTTAATTTTTTTTTATTTTTTATTTTTTTTTTTTTTTTTTTTTTTTTTTTTTTTTTTTTATTTTTTTTTTTTTTTTTTTTTTCTATTTTCCATATACACCTTATTTTATTGTTTTTTTTTTTTTGTTCAATAATTTCTTATAATTTGAGTTTTTATTCCAATTTCATATTTACATTTTCCTGCTTGTCATTTCAATTCAATTACATCTCATACATTGTAAGTCAATCGCTGAATTACCTGCCAACCAACGAAAGACTTAAGCGGCGAACTTGTTTCGTTTTAACAGCCATATCGAATGAAATTTCTTTTGCCAACATTTCAACAAATGTGGCATTATGCTATCACCTTTTCCAAGGTAGGAAATTTGAATAGACATGCATTTACGGCACTTCACTTCAGCAGAAACCGCTATAATCAAAGGCAAGGAAGCAGCAATCACACGAAAGTCATAAACCCGCAACGTTCTTAGCACCTCATAATAAGCAGACAAAAAATAACGCTACACACTGCTGTTTGAAAGCTGCAAAGCAGACTGCATATTACAAAAGCACGAGAAAAAAAAGGAATATGAAAATAAATATAGCAACAACAACAACAAACGAAAGACAATAATAACACCGCAGTAAAATGGCTTGCGCTAGACTTTGATGTAAAAACACTTTTCTTTGTGTTTTGTTCTTAATGCGCTTTGCAGCATTTTTTCAGCACTTCAAACGCTCAGTCGCGTGCGCTACTTTTTCCTTCTAGTCGACGTTGACGCTGACGCCGGCCGCTATTGGTAATTTCATGGTGTAATATGCGCTTTAGTCAGACCGCTTGCCGTAGAAAATTGAAAAGAAATGTGTTGTAGCGGCGTAAACGTAGCAGTGAGTTTATGCAAAACTAGAAGTGGAAAAATGCTATAGAAAAAACAAAAACTTTCGTAACAAAAAAAAAAAGCCAACGGAAACCGAAACTTGTTCTCACTAATGCAGCGGTCAGTCGATAGTGGTCAGAACAGAGCATGAATGACCATTAAGCATCGCCACAGCTTCAAGCTAGTCTCAGCTGAAAGTGGCGACTTTGTGTTGGTGAATGTTTTATGTTTGGTTGTTGTTGTTTGCTAAGCGTGTGTGTGTGGGTTAACGGTGACAAGCTTAGCTGAACTTGCGCCCATTTTGTGTAAACATTGTATTTTGACATGCACACATATATAATATATAGCAATAAATATAGTTATATATCGATAGTTAATAATTGTACTTAAACCTTTTTTGTTTTCCCCATGCATAATGTGTGTAAAATCACAGCTTTATACTTGCATATATATATATATATACATGCAGCCATGTATGTCTAAAGTGATTGAAAAAATATAAGCGCGACGCATGCAGGTCTACTAGCGCTGCGCTGCAACCAGTTTCTACATGTTTGCCCATTACTAGCTGTTGCTGCTTGACAGTTATCTATTCGCTGCCAGTCTAGTTTGCTCTGTTTGCGCGCGTGTTGCTTTTTCTTTACTTTTTCCATATTGGCTAATGCCAGTTGGTAATGAATTGTTGATTTTTTCGACTATTTTTTTTCTTATTTCGAATTATTGTCCGCAAATATTTCAGATTTTACTATTTTAAGCAGTGAGTATTACAATAGTTTGTGGCGTGAATTACTTAGAGGCTATTAGCGGTTATCAATTTGTAAATAACGATTTGCTACTTTAAAAAAATTATATTTAAAAACAAAATTAGAAGAAAAATTCCACATGTCTTCGTTAATATATAGTCTATATAAAACATATAAAAAAAAAATTAAATGGTCCATTTCGAGGTTCCCTTCCTTTCTAAAAAAAAAAAAAAAACAAAAGAAAAAAACAACACAAACATTTCAAATTTAATGGGGAATGTTTATAATCATTCGAAAGTACATTCTTTAACATTTATTTCTTGAAGATTATCTCTTTCAAATGTTGGCCACGGCTACGTCTCGGATAGCTCATCCATTGAGTAAAATTTTCGATGACTCGTTGGTGCATTTCTACTGGTAATTGATAAATGACACGCGTGATGTGTTGCTGCAAGACCGTAATCGAAGAATAATTGTCCGCATAGGCCATAGAATTTACATATCTACACAGGAAAAAGTTTAACGGTATGACATCGCACGCTCTTGGTGATAAATCGACCGGCCCCAAACTTTAAATTATCTGCTCACTGAAGTGTTCTCTCAATAAATCTATTGATCGATGTGATGAGTGTGGAGTGGCGCTGTCATGCTAAAACCGAATGTTGCAGAGATCGCGAGCTTCAATTTCGGTTCTCAAATAGTCTGTTATCATTGCTTCCGAGCCATAGACGATTACGTTTTTGACATCATATTTGAAAAAATATAAACCGATGATTCCACTGACCCACTAACCACCCCCGACCGTTGGTTTTTCTGACAAAATTTGGCTCGAAAATGTCGCATCTTCATGGAACTGTTCAATATTCCATTCAAACTGACCGATCAAAGCAAATCTATCGATCATTTTAAAATCTTTGCGCTGTAAGAAATGCAACCTGTGCATGGTACTACAGCTACGGTGCTGCCGAATTAAAATTTTTATTTACTTTTATATATATATATATATATTTTTTTTTTGTTTGCTTAAAGCATACTTTCTTAATGTATTATTATTCATGTACGTTATAACAGATATTTTTGCGGAAATTTAAATTCTTGCTACCAAAATCTTTGCTTTCTTTACTTTCTAAATGTTAAGAACTGTAATTTTTATGACTTGAAAATCTAATAAAAGCAACTGTGTATCTTCTTTCATTACAGTAAAACGCTAGTAAAAATTAGAGCGTGAACTGGACAGTCACCACTATCTCTTTCAACGCTTACGCACACACAAATCTACATAGCAGCTGAGCTGGCAGTTCATGCGTCAGCAGTTACGGTAGCCGCGAACGTAGCAAACGTAAATAAATGCAATGCGCGTGTAGCGTAAATTATTATTATGATAATGAATTAAACTTGCCATTAATTTAGAAGTGAACAAAGAAGCTGCCAAAGAGATAGAATAGCGAAATCGGCGGCACAAGCAAGCCAGCAAGCAGGAAACGCAAACGTAGTGGAAAGAAGTAGTCAAACAGCATAAAGTGTAACAAGCGAATAAAGTCGTACAACAACAACAATATTATAATAATAATATAATTACAACAACAAGCAAACGCACAGCGCAAAACAAAGCAACGACTGCACGTAGCATGCGTTGCACGCACATACACCTGTCTCTTATACACATCTAGATGTGTATAAGAGACAGGCATAAAGTGTAACAAGCGAATAAAGTCGTACAACAACAACAATATTATAATAATAATATAATTACAACAACAAGCAAACGCACAGCGCAAAACAAAGCAACGACTGCACGTAGCATGCGTTGCACGCACATACACACGCAGAGACACGCGCTGAATTGTAATTGCAAACTGAATTAAAATAAAATGGAAGTAGCGACAACAAACAATCATCATCACAACCACCATCATCATCATCAACAGCATCAACATCTCGGCCATCAACTACATCATCCAGCGCATCGCTTGCCAATGGCCAAAGCACCGCAACAACAACAACAGAACAGCCTCATAGTGAGCAACGCTTTGAGCGCTGCCAGCGACAGCGCGACGCGCAATGGTAATAGCGGTGGCTCACCGCGCTCGCCGTTCCAGCGCGAGGTGCGCGAATGGCAGCGCATCGATCCAGATACGGGCGCTTTGCTGAGCGGCCGTTTAGAGGCCGATCGTTGGATTAATGGGCCGTTGAATAGTTACGGAAAGGTGAGTGCGCATCGACAAAAATAATCATAGCGCAATATACATATATGTATATATATATGTGTGTATACATATGTTTGTATGTGCGTGCGCAATGCCGCGCGCTTCTGTAATTATAGTATTTGTGGCATGAACGCGGACAAAGCTGAAATCTCTAGCTAGAATTACGGTAGTAAATGTTGTTTAAGCGAAATGCGTTGCACGCCGCACTTGATTGATTGCTGTGCGTAAACGCATGCGTGATAGTTGGTGTAGATATATATATATCCATATATATACATATATATAATATGTAATTTTAAGTCTCCGCCGCACACATAATTGCGTTGCTTGGCCGCGCGCGCGCAATTTTGCCGTGTGGCAACATTGTTTGCAGCCAATTTATGACCGAATGACTGACTGTTGCACGCATACTTCATGCAACATTTATCTATAAATACATATACACATATATAATATAGTATATTAACCATATGTATAGCTTACTTGCAACGCTACCCTTTTTGTTGGACAACATGCAATGCTTGGCTCATAACGCTGTGCCGCAGCTCAGCAGTCTGTCGAGAATTGACTGACAAGTCGGCAAACACTGACAGCTCATCAAATGTAGTGGGCATTTTTGCGCAATTTTTTTTTTTTTTTTTTGTTATGTTTTTAATTAATTTATTTTTATCTTCACTATTCATGCTCATGTATACATGTGTGCCTTTGTGTTGGTCTAGTTCCAGGGCGTTGCGAGTTTTAATTAAAAAATAGTCCGCTAAGTGGTTTTGTTGCCATTTTCAATAGGTAGGGATAGTAAGGACCAACACCTCTACAATTGGCAACGGCATATTTTACATATTTGCTAGAATTATTTATCATCGAAAGGGAATTCTAGCAATTTGCTGTATGCTGGGGACCCCTTACAATGTTTTGCAGAGAACTTTGTGACGGAAATAATATCAACTTAGAAGGTTCTGTCCGCTATATAGTATAAATTTATCAATTTTGACCCGAACTGATAGAAAAAACGTAGAAATGTACGACGTTTTATAATAATAATCTCTTTTATAGTCAACGCTAGATTTCAATTTTCTTGAGCGAATGACTTCAATGACTTCAATTAATTCATATATCATCATGTCGCGTTCTCCTAAGCAAACTTTACAGTTTTAAAAACAGAAAAAATATCACACGAAAGAAAATCTGATGAATACGTTGAATGAGCGTTGACTTTTATTTCCTATTTGGCTAAAAATTCCGATTAAATAATGCAAGAATGTTATGCGCATTCTGGTGGTGAAATCTTCTGCCCACAAATCCGGTCCTTTACGGTAAATTGCACGTATATGTCTCATAACGGCCAAGTGGCCTTTTGACGCTGTGTAATGTATACTTTTAGAAGTTCTCACGATGTTCAAGGCAAACTATGACCATGAGCCGATTTTTAACCGACTTCAATGTGGTTTCGGCTAATTTTTGGAGCGCCATTCACGGCGCTCTCTGCTGACAACACAACGATTTCTCGAGCACTCTGGATGAATGATTTACAGGAGGATATGTTATCGAGGGCCATTCAAGCACTCGTGTTTATGATAAAGTAGGCTAACTGAAATACTTAAGCCGTGTCTGAGATTCCATTAGAAACATAAAATTTCAAGCAAGCTTATGACATTTCCTTCCATGGTAAAAATTAACTAATATTTAAAGATCAAGTTTCTCACCAGAACATTAAAACAGATTCTAGCAGTCTGGGAAAAAATTGTTATCGTTTCGGTTTTCGCAGGCAGTTTAAATGAACCAGTCCGTGTCAAATTTGATCTGATGGTACTATACTTCGGTTTCATATATGAATTAAAAAGGTAATTTGCAAAGAAATCCTTCTAATAATCCATCTTTCTCTTCATGGAACTACTTAACACATTTTTGGATTATATTTCTCAGATCATTCAAGTATACAATAAGCAATGCATTTTCGAAAGAGTTCATATTAATGGAATGCATATTTACCAAAGGGAGGATGGAGTCATGTGTAGAAGTTCACGCAAGTGAGGAAAGTTTTCTGATCGCCATTCAC